ACAAAAGTTAAAACTATGAGTTTTGATATTTCTCAGTATATTTTCGGACACTTGAGCACAATGCATTCATAACTTGTCAGGAAAAATAAAGCCTCAGAAATATTAAATGCTGTATTTGATTAATAGAGTTCTTAAAAATAAAAATAAAAACTCATCTGAATGCTTTTATTGATTTAAGTCTAGTAAACTTTGTTTCAAGATGGTTAAGATTCTGTATGAAAGAAAGGCTTTAAGGAAAACGGTATGCGATTATAAAAAAAAATCAAGTATACATTTCACAAATAAATTTAAAATGGAAGTTAATTGTTCATTTAATCCTTATAATTAGGTTTTTAATGATAGGAAAATATCTTTAAAGATTTTTATCATATAATTTCACTACTAAAATAAGCCAAAATTGGCTTCACATGAAAATGTTCCACTATACAGAAGATTTAAAATCTAATAAGATAAAATTTGTAAAACTAGTGTAGTAATTAAGACAACTGCTCAAATCTGTGCAAATCTAATTCATCTGTGCCATAACAGATGACCTCAGTAATAATTCTTAAACTCAATGACTACTTTCAGAATAATTAAAATAAAATGCAGAAGTGTACATGAAGTGTTTTCTTTGATATGACTTATCAAATATTAAGAATTAAAATAAACAAGTTGATATTTTCTAATTATGATACTGTAACTTATTATATGAAATGTACATTTATAATTAAGATTGCATTTTGGGAACTATATCAATTGAGCTTAGTTCTGCATAGCTTTATTCTGATTTTCCATTCATTCTTAAGTGCAGTTGAGAGTAAATCATGGAAGTGTTGATAAAATGAAACTTTGAGTCTATTTACAATTGCTATTATTTATACCATGAGCAAAAATTTCTATTCATAACTAGAGAGTTTGGATTCAACCAACCCCCATAACTTAAATTATTCCTTTATGTCAGAATAATAAAATTCGTGAAAATAGCTAGAAACTAGATTTTAATACTTTTTATGCAAAGCACAGCTTTGTCATGATAAAACAATCATCTACCCCCTTTAAAAGCCAAAAAAAGTCTCATATTGAGTAAAACTTATAAAATTCTTGCTCATGTGTATGTTTAAGTAAGTACACCATACACAAAAAGTGACAAAGATATAAAAATATTCAAAATGATAATAATGTGATCACAGACTCTTTGCCTCATATACTCTTTAACATCATTTATAACAAAAAACAGAATCACACATGGGTTTTACCTTCATAATCTATTTACACTTTTATACAGTAACAAGGTTAAGTAGTACCTTTCATGATGAATGTGGTGCTTCAAATGTTCTTCCCATCCCCGCCCCCCCAAAAAAAACCCAAAATAAATAAACCCCCCATAAAACTACTATCAAAACTGAAGGCAACTTATATTGTTTAAAACGTTATATTGTTCATAACTTTAATACAAGAGATTAATGTATAAAATTTTCAAACAAAAAGGTTACAGGGTTTAAAAGAATTAGATGTTTTGTTTTAATGGTTGGGTTGCTATCTCTTTAAAGTTTACCCAGCATCTCCTTTTCGTCAAATTATAATAATTCATATCCTAGTACATCGAGAATTATCACTTGCAAATCAGACATAATTATGATTACAATATCTAATATTTTTTTCATATTTCAATTGTTTAATCAGTTGGTTCAAACATATGTAAGACCACATTTATCATGGAAGTATATAACGTAGATTGTACTAATTTAAGATTAAGAGAAGAAATATACATCAGTAATACTAAGGAACAATGAATATCAAACTATGAACTATAAAGTCCATTACATCTTACGAAAAATCAAATTTGTTTTTCAACCTCAACCCTTAATTTTATATGCATTACAAATCATTGAAATACAACCCAGTTTCACACACCCTATTAACATTTTATATTTGAGGACCACATGTCATGAGAGGAAACTCAGTTGACTCCAGATGATTTATAAAACTGGGAGCTGACGTAAAGCTTTTTAGAATATTCAATGAAAATGCATACATTTAACTACAAAATTAGTATATAGCATGCATTACAATGATATAAATTCACTAAATAATAGTTCTTTTAACTAAATGATATAAAACGATTTTGAGTTATCTCCCCTGGTATAAATAGCATAATATATCTATCAACCTAAATATTGCCCTTATTTTTTTATATTCATGATTTCATAGATGTAATCTCAATTTCAAATAACATGATTTTTGTCATAAATCATTAGTCACAATTGTTCTACTATGCAATAACCAAAACCATGCTTAACATTGTTTTGAAGAATCTTAAGATAAAACTAATAAAAAATGCTGAAAGTATCAAAGTAAAACATGTACACTACAATCACTCATTTTCAAACTTTGAACCCATCTGTTTTACTCATACATTTGACACGGGAACAGTACCTGAAGCAGGGAACAGGTTCAAACTGCTTGGATACAACTGTACAATGTAACATTGGGAATGTTTTCAATCTTAACACATCTATTAAAGGATAACACAGTTTAAAATTTTTCTAATCAAGTATCCCTATAATTTTTAAGGGGAACTGATGTGGCTTGGCAATAATATCAGTCCCCTGAAAGAAATCACAGGTTGCATGGTGAGAGAAATTTTAAACAAAGGGTAAAACCAACAGCTGAACTATACTGAATAAAATAACAAACATAATTTGGTTCAAGCTTCAATGGATAACCATTTGGATCTCATATATCTTTGGTGGCGAAAAAACACCTTACAAAATCATCATCCTGCAATAATCCATAATAAAAATAGCACTTTTGGGAAAATAGTCAAGGCAAAATATTTTTTTTTTTAAACTGTCATTATTGAACTAAATTATATAAAAAAAAAGTAAATTAATACAGCTATATACTAAATGAGACAACTTAATAAAAGTATATAATAAAAATAGTAAACATACTACAGAATGCTAAAAACATAAAAATAATTAAAATATTTTGGTAGCTGCTAAAAGAAAATGAGATTCAAAATGTCAAGAGTATTTGTTTTACAACTGTATAAATCTTTCAAACAAATCACGAAGTCTGCTCAAACAATCTCATTTGTAAAACAAGTAATTTCAAACCAAAATCCAATCTCTGTGGCAATTCAAGCTGAACTTTGAAGTTTGGTTTGTAAAAGTTTAAAACAATTATCATCCTATTTTCCCAGTGATTTTTCACTTTATTCAAAGGTTAAAGGGAATTCAATTTGCCAACATAACAACCAAATATCTCTTCATTATCCTGACAAGTGCATCATGATTGTTAAACAATAAAGTACAAACAAAAAACATTTGTAGAAACATGAAAGTTTGTTTTCAAGTGCTCTTTGGTTCCATCTCATTGTTTTCAAATGAGTATTTAAACAGGTAAGTCATTTTGCAATGTCAAACTTGAAAAAAAAAGATAAATGATTTCAACAGAGATTACCCCCTCACTCAAAGTAGACTTCAAATTTTTGTATGTCCATAATTACAGCCGATTCTCTCCCCTTTGTTTTACATTAAAGTATGAAATAATAGATATAAAACAATGCTGTTGCAATGTTGCTCTGCACAGTATTTGTGGAAATGATGTCATTAAAAAACCTGGGGTGTATCCCTTGATTTTAAAATAAAAACATCAAGGAAAAAAAATGTATACCTAAATTTAAAAAAGGACACCCTCAGTTTCAGGGAATGAATTGTCATGAAGTAATTGAGATTCAATAATGGATGCAGGATACATGTATATCATATTAAGAACAATATCTTAACAGGGGACCAGACTATTTTACCAGAAAATCTTTGGTCTGTTTACAGCTTCAATCGTACAGTAAAGGTCAGAATTTAGCCAGTGGTTTAAATTTTGTTTATATTTTGAGGATAAATTTAAACCTTAACAAAAATTTAGAATATAAAAAACATTACTTTCATACTGGAATCTTCCAAAATTACGGTAATCCCCCAAAAAAAATAATGTCAGAAAAAAAAACCACAAATACCTTACCCCCCAGGATTTTATAAATGTTTTTATAGTAAACATCAATGATAATAGCTTATTTAATTTTTAAACATTATTTTTATTTATAGTCCATTTCAAATTCCAATATCTATTAGGTCTTAAAATTTTTCAAACAAAAACAAATGCACCTGATTGTGGAATTCAAAAATAACCAAAACAGATCAATATAAAGAAAGTTAAATACTGATCTGATGAGCAGATTAATTGGAAGGAGTGGACAAAATTGTATGTAATTTCTAAACAATCAATAAAGCAAGGTAATTGTAGCCAAAACAAAGAGAATTGCCTTAAACTTACACCATGAAATACTTATCAGGAATGACACTTATTCTGTAATAGCCGTCTGGGGAACTTCTTTACCATTGAATGATTGAATCATAGATGAAAAAATACTTTTTTATACAGCAATGAGCGAAAACCTAGATTTTGAAAACTGCCTTGATCTTCATCGTTTAGTTCAGGAAATCGACTAGCTTCATCGATCATTTGTGAAATTGTTTGGGACATTTATGTCAAATACCTTTTAGTAATTATTGAAAATCATCCTTCTAGACAAATGTTTTTGTAAAAATCATCATTCAGTCCTATCATGTAGATTTTATCAAATAAGAAATTCATTTTTTAATACCTTTCACTTTCAGCCAGTTTTTGTTCAAAAAGAACAATTCATAAACGACTAATGATCTGATCAACTGTAAGGGGTATATAGCATTCTCTATAAGTCATTTCATGAAAATTAACTTTGCCTAGGGTGCTCTTTTTCCTAAAATAGCACTCATTTGCATAATATGAATTTGCCAAGGGAATTGTCTAAAAATCAAGAGAAAAAAATCATTTTCTCTCACTATCTTGCAAAATCAAGATGAAAGTTATCTTCTTAATTTGCTAACAATTGATCTATTACTACTAGCTGAAAACCTGCTGTCAAGCCTGTTATGAAATGACGTCAACTTGAACAATTCTCCCTCTACGTTTCTTTCTTTACATTACGTCAAACTATGGAAGAAAAAACGCAAAACGATTTATAGTCAAAAGAGATCTGAAGGAGGCAGCATGAATTTATTACAAATTTTAAGCCTTTGATGCTATTTCTAACAATTGTTATCAGATCCATATGATTAAAATAGATAAGGAGATTTTTATAAACTACATAAATTTATCATCATTTCTAAAAAAAACAACAAAGTTTTCTGTTTTTACACTGATGATTTATCATTATTGAGTATGTGTTTTGGGTCTGTCTTTTGGTGTAAGGTCATGGTAACAGAAAGGCCCTTAATTTTGTCAACAGATAGCTCAACTGATATTTACTTGTCACTCTTTAAGATAAGCGAAAACATCCTAGTTTTGTTTCTGCTTAATTTAAAAGTTCAACACAGATCTCTACCAAATATCATAAATTTTAGACTAAAAATTAAGTAAAACCTTATGCATGAAGATCAAAAGTGAAACTCTTTCATGCATGAAGATCAAGATTTCATAAGTAGATTAACATGCTATTTAGCCTTGGAAAAGCTTGCATTTGGCAAAGTATTCCTAATCTTGGCAACTCCCCACAAAAAAATGTTAGTACAGCACAACTTAACTTTTCCTTTAGTCAAATAAAAAAAATTAAGTAAAAAGCCATTTAAGGATCACATGATGCTTACAGATGTTAATCAAGGACAGTAGTTTTAAAATATGTGCAAGTAACATTTTCAGTTTGCTGTTTAATTTAGATTTGTTCCTTGTAAAAAATATTTCAGTAAAAAGCCAGTATAACAGAAGTTCTAAAGAAATTATGTGGAGGTACATATTTTCTTATTCAAACTACTCAATTCACATCTCAAAAGCTTTACCAAAAAATTCAATTATCTAAACAATCTACTACATCTTTTTATTAATTTCTTATGTAGTCTTTTAACAAATAGAATTTCAAAATAATATGAATGGTTATAGTTTCAGTACACAGGTGGTATGTTTGAACTTTATACAAACTAAGAAAAGTAGGACAGAAAATTTTAAAATGATTATTACATAAAGATGACAATATAAGGCTATTTATTATTTAAACACCTAGACGTACATTCTAAATGGTATATTTCATAGTTGTAATGGATTCCGTCCAATGCTTAATGAAATACTAAGTTTTAATACTCAACAAAAGTAAGTAAATAAACCCTAACCTAAATCTTTGGCACAAAATAATGAATTAAATGGCTAGTTGTATCAGTCTCAATGATTAAAAATGTAATCCCTCTCTTAAGTAAAATAAGTTGATTGTCAAAATAGCACTCAAACACTGCTAGGTTTGAGCTTTAGATATTTATGTTTTTTTTGGTAAATATAAATAAGAAGTAAGCATGCAAGGAATAGTAAAAAATTAAATGTAGAGGTTACGAAAAAAATCCTACATATATTTATCATTCATTACGTCTAGTAGCTTGAAAAAGCCATGAAACTTTGGAAATAGGAAGTAAACAGTAAAGACGTTTGAAATATTAATATTATTAGAAGAACTCAAATGAATTTTTCATTATTTAACTAACTGGTTAACATAAAAACCCTGTAGGCAAAGCCAAGATGAAGAAATATTGACTTACATCCCCGAAAAATAAGTCTTTCACAAACTACTTTAAATCTATATGGCTTGTGAGGCCTCTTTTCAGAAAAAAATTACCAGACCAAACCATTTTTACTGGCCTGGACTGTAGGGCTTGTGGTTTATGATAAACATTTTTGTAATTTATAGATTTTTAGAAACCAATGCATTTAAAAAATTTGTTTTGATTTGCTTTAATATTCCATCGACAAATGAACCTTGGTGAACTTTCTCCTTGTTTGCAATTAATCTTGTATAGTATGGAGCCACAAAGTTACCATGTAGGCAGCTAAAGACTTATTTATACAGACATCCAGAGAAATAAATTTGTCAATTTCATTACAATCTAATCCATAAAAGGGGTAATCTAATGAATAAAATATTGTATTGAAAAGGTCATGACAATATAGATCATTGTCTACAGGAATCACAAATCATTACAACCCTAATAGTGGATTTCATCTCATGATCTACATGGATTTCACTTCAAAGGGACTAATTTCTACTTTTTGTAATTATTGCAGATTTATTTTTTGTCTAGTTAAAATTTTTATTTAATAGAACAATGACGACAGATTTCACTTTAAGGACCAATTTTAATGTCTGTCAGCAATTATTTGGTAAATTTCCATATAATTAAACAAATAACAACAATTACATGAATTTTGAATTGGAAGTTAAAAAAAAGCTGGGAAAATGGTAATTTTATTCAGATGGATTTAAGAATGACTATTGTGACAGTATTGACTTAATTCATGTTATGTAAATTTATAAATTTTGAAAAAAGACCAGAAAGCAATGTCAAAACAGAAAATATGTCAACCGTTCCAGTATGTTGATTTTTGCACTTTATTTTAAATACTTCAATTCAGATACTTAAGTTTTTTGTTTGTTCTTTCTTTTCAAAATTTTAGCTATTTGACCTAAAACCGTAATATTACAATAACACCCTAATCAAAAAAAATTCACACATTTAAAAAACTTTAGAAAATAAAATAAAACGAGTTAAAAAGAATGAATTATCATAACCTGACCAGTTTAACAGTTACATGTTCTAAAAGGAAAGAAATCTTTTACTCTCAATTCTTGTTGATAAACATGTTTATTGAACAAGAAATAGCTTTTAACAAGAAATGGTAATCTGAATCAAGTTTACTGAAAATTCTAATTTTCAAATTGAGATATTTATATGACGACCTTCTACAGAAAATGGGTTTTAAAACCGATTATCTGAGATTTGTTAAAACTTCTGCATAACAGTTCTTTTCAAACTGTTTAGAAAACCCAATTAATGCATTTCATTTTGTGCAAATAATATTCAAATTGACACTGTGTCATTCTGATGTAATTCAATAAGAGCTGTGAGATTTCTCTGGAACTAGAATCATGCAATTCAAGTTGATTTAATAATTATAGCTGTCTATTCATAGCAAATTTAAGGTTATTTTAATTTAAGGACAGTTAAAAAAAAATCCATTAGCTATCGATTGGTTAACTAATACATTTATCATCTTTTACCGATTTCTGTCATGTTTATTTACTCTGGAAATTGTGGCTCACTTTAGAAATTGGTTTACCTATTTACAGATTATAAGGATTTGGACTTGATTACAACTGACCTCAATTTTGATGCCTGCTGACCTAATTACATTTACAAAACAATTACTTTTTAAGTCAAAGGCAAGTTTAAAACCAGTTTAATATTTCATCAACAGTAAGATTAAAATTCTTTAACATGTAATTGTTGTTAAATTGCTTTATAATTTTAAAATACCACCTATAAAATCGACTAACCAAAATCTTTCTACAAAATTTAATATTTGTAGGAAGTTTTATATTTACAAAAGTAAATAAAAGTCAATGGAGGAATTTAAGTTCTGACCTATATACAACCTCATTGAGGTAAAATAAAAACAATATGAAAATAAGGAGAAGTGGGATGATTGCCAATGAGACTATCCACCAGATTAACCAAAGGACACAGTTAATTCTGCATTTTTCAAAGTTAAATACACAAAAAGAGAAGCAAATCTTTCTGTTCTCTCTCTTTATTCCAAATGACCTTGAGATTTACCTTAAAGGTGTACTTGAGATATGATCAAGAAAAATTTCATCCAGCTACCAAATTCAAACATAAATGTTGGTTGAACATGGACCAATAGAACCTAAAGTCATTTAAAAAATCAAACAAAATTCAGCTAATTAAATCAATGGCACACATTAGTTTAATATTTGGTGGAAGACCTATTTTACCTTTTTTTTCTTCAATTTTGAAAATATTTTTTACAAACAAAAAATAAGGTTTGTCTTTCACTGTTCAAATTTGGGCTTGTTTGGTGCATTTAAGTGTCAATTGTTTGTATTTCAAGTTATGTTACCTGTTTTTTACCAGAATTTTGTCATAAAGAGTCACACTCCCTTTAAATCGCCTATACAATAATCTGAGGTATCTGATAATAGCATTTCTGTTCTAATTGATGATCTACATTAACCGTTGCTACTAATTACTAATTGTACAGACTATAGTTCTTATATTTTTCAAAGAGGGTTAAGGAAAATATTCAGATTGTGAAATTTGTAATTTCATTTTTCAATCAATAACTTTTGTTCCATCTTCAACCAAATTATAAATGTACTAAGACAGAAAAATTGTTAGCAAAAAAAAGTACCGCTGTTAAAAATGTCTACAACTAAAATAAACATAATATAATATCATCTATATAAAGCTTAATTAAAAATAATGCTGCGATTATTATGCTTTAGAATAACATATAAAGGTAATATTGTCACAAATTGACCCTTTTGTATTGAGCAGGATGTGAGACTAAAATAAAAACATAATAAACAATAATGACAAAAAATTAAAATCTATACACAGCTTTTATACATTAACATAGCCAGCATTTCTAGAAACAAGATGGATCCATTTTTGGTATCGGCACATGGCATAAGGGGTCCACTAAGGGGGGATTTCTACCCCTGTGTAATGTATCCACTCTGTCTCCCTATAATGAAGTTGTTATGACTTGCCAATAATAGAACACACATGCTATCAATTGATGTGATATGATAATTCCATTGAGTTATCTTCCCTTTGTATAGCGAACAGGTGTTGTCAATATCGTAATCTTCCTTTCTGAAAATAGAAAAAGAAATGAAGCATGAGTTATCAAGGATTCCTAACCTTTTAATGAGATAAAAACAACAGCTAATCAATTAATGTGCATTGCTTTACACATTTGTAACAGAATGAATACATTTTTTGGATAAGAATGTTGTAACTTTCTTCTGACTGATGTTTTGAACTCTTCTGTTAACAAATAGTTGATATGTTTCATTTTGTCTTTTTATGTTCCTTACCAATATAAGTCTTTGCAAATGTAGAAATAATGTTCTGCTGTTTAAAAATAAGCAATACATTAATGTTCCTTCAGTAAGTTAATAAAATAGTTTGGCTTATATCAAATTTTGGTATCTCAGTACATCCAGTGTATGATTTATACCAAACCTTTTAAACACCAAACATTTCTGATAGGAATCAAAGTGACATCTCTCAGATTTTCTTGAAAGATAATGGCTTCTTTTAAGTCAAGGATTTATGTCAATAAATATGCCAGTAATTGTCTGTAAATCCTTTCTCTCTCAATGATAAGAACCTTGTTTTGCCTGTTGTAAAGATGTACATGACTGTATGAGGGAAAGGCTTTTACTTCACAATTGTTCTTAAGAAATGATACGATGACCTGAGTATTACTTGTAAAGGCGTATGTGACTGTATGAGAGAAGGGCTATAATGGGTCCTTCAAAAACTATTGTTTTAATGATACAACCATAGTTTTGACATTATATGCATATTGTGACTTGGGCTATTACTTTTAAAACTATTGTTCTAATGAAAAGAATATGACCTTGGTTTTGCTTGAAAAGACATACATGACTATAAGAGGGAAATGTTTTTACTTCAAATACTATAATTTTAATGAAATGATATGATATGATGATCTAGTATTGCCTGTAAAGGTGTATGTGACTGTATGTATTACAGGTACTAAAAAACTATTGTTTTAATGATACAACCGTAGTTTGAGGGTATTGTGACTGTATGAGAGAAGGGCTATAATGGGTCCTTCAAAAACTATTGTTTTAATGATACAACCATAGTTTTGACAGTATATGCATATTGTGACTCGGGCTTAATTACTTTTAAAACTATTGTTCTAATGAAAAGATATGACCTTGGTTTTGCTTGTAAAGACGTACATGACTATATGAGGGAAATTCTTTTACTTCAAATACTATAATTTTAATGAAATGATATTATATAATGATCTAGTATTGCCTATAAAGGTGTTTGTGACTGTATGTATTACAGGAACCTAAAAAACTATTGTTTTAATGATACAACCGTAGTTTTGAGGGTATATGCATATTGTGACTCTGGCTATTACTTTTACAACTATTGTTCTAATGAAAATATATAACCTTGGTTTTGCTTGTAAAGACATACATGACTGTATGAGAGAATTAAGGGTTATAAGTACTTTAAAATTACTGCTCTAATGATAAGACCAAAGTTTTGCCTGTTTTAGCCGACATATGTGACTGTATAAGAGAAGGGCTATTACAACAAAAACTACTGTTCTAATGACATGATATGACCATAGTTTTGCTTGTGAGGCGACAAGACTGTATGATAAAAGGTCTATTACTTCACAAACTATTTGTCTTATGATACAACCATAGTTTTGCCTGTAAAGGCATACATAACTATATGAGAGAAGGGCTATTACTTCAAAAACTACTGTTCTAGTGATACAACCATAGTTTTGCCAGTAAAAGCTTACATGATTGTATGAGAGAAAGGTTTTTACTTTAAAAACTAGTATTCTATATGAAATGATACGACAATAGTGTTGCCTGTTGTAAAGGGGTACATGACTGTATCAGAAAAGGGTTATGACTTCAAAATCTATTGTTCTTATGATAAGATCATCATTTTGTCTGTGAAGGCGTACGTGACAATATGAGAGAATGGCTTTTACATCAAATACTATTCTTCTAAATGATACGACCATAGCTTTGCAAGTAACAGCCTATGTGACTGTATGAGAGAAGGGCTATCACATCAAAAACTATTGCTTTAATGATACCAACATAGTTTTGCCTGTAAAGGCGTACGTGACTATATGAGAGAAAACTATTACTTTTAAAACTATTGTTCTAAGTAAATCAATCATTCCGTCTCATCAATTAAAACAATCCAGGAAACCTGAACTCTTATTAAGACAAATGACTTATAAGAAGATAAAATCATTCAATCAAATCATAATTACCGATTAGAAATATCAGATATGACATACAAGGACCATCTATCATTATTTTCTTGGCATAATATGTAAAATGGAAACATTGAGGTTGCTTTACTCTCAGGATGACATGCATTATCATGCAGAGTATCAAATCTATTTTTCATTTCCTTTTCAATCAAGAACATTAAGAGCTAAAATTAACAATCCTGTCTCATTATCAGGGTGCAATCAAGTATATTTATAGGTTTTCATTGAAACTGATTATATTATAGGTTTCCATTGAAACTATTCTGGCAGAACTTTCTGCTTTTACAATATAAACAATTACACTTGGAACACTGATAAACATGCCTTTTCCCTTAAAAAGCATTAGTTTTCATAGCCTGGGTACCAGTTTAAATTCTTGTGAACGGAACCAGGTAGAACATTACAAAATGCAGGCACGGATCAGGCCATTTTGAAAACCTCCTCAACACCATGAAACATTCACATAATTTAAAAAAAAAAAAAAAAAAAAAAAAAAATTATAAAGGGGCTTCCAACCCCCAGAACACCCTCACTGGATCCGCCAATGACAAAATGTTTATTTAATGAATGACATAAAGATGCATTGATTGTAAGATAGCACTTTTCTGACATACCACATGAAACTACATGAAAGGACAGCTTATATGCATAATATCATAAATAAAAAAAATAGATTTAGTAACCAAAAGATTATTATCATTAATTAACCAATAGATTTATTTATTGTTTCCACATGTTTAGTTGTACATGTTGAGTGACTTCTGTCCTGACCTGTGCCAAGTACATATTATACACATCTCCACCTGACCCTACCAATGCAACTTTGCTAACCTTCTATGTCATTTGGTCTCTGATGGAGAGTTGTGTAGTAACAGTGTTTTCATTGGCAATCATATCCCATCTTTTTATTTTCTATAAAGCAAATAAAAACTAGGTCAGAAGCCCTTTTTTTTCATGGATGTCATTTTGTGTTTGTTGGAAATATCATTGGTTACAGAGTTTTAAATTCATGGTTTCCTATTTTTCACATTATAAATTAATATAAGTGATATATTTCAGGGTTTGATTCCATGGTTGAATGTAAATTAAATCACTGAATGATCTTACAAGAAGTGGTAAATTGACTTCCCCTTTTTAATTGCAGGGATGATTTTGCTCAGAGATTAAATTAACTAAAATCAATAGAATTTGTCTGAAAACACCCCCACCCCCTTTTAAAAGTAACATTTTCTAACAGCTTTCACTACGTCGAGGAACTTTTGAAAAAAAATATGAAGGAAAATAACTGAAATAAGTAAAATAATTGATAAATTGATTATTTTTTTATTATCATTTTCAACGTGTACTTCAGACATTCTCAGTTTTTCATGGTCAAATTTCAATTATGAGGTTAAATTATCTAGTGCTTCTCTGATTTTATAATTATGATATGTCACCAAAAAAATGTGAGCATGCCAGCTAGGTGAAGTCTTACAAAATGAACAATTTATTTCAGCAGATTATCGAAAAAAACATTAAAGTTGGCCTAAATATAATCTCAAAATCTAAGTGAGGAAGAATCCACCAACATATCTGTTGCAATATGACATTCCTCCCCAATTAAGACAATTAAAATTTTAGATATCTAAAATGTTCAGCAAGTCTTGCCTTTTAAATCTCAAACTTTAACTGTAACTGGAGAAATATCATATTGTACTAGATGCAGTGGTATAAGCTACTTTTACTGTCATAGTAATGATTAAGCAAAGTTTGGGTTTAATAAATAAGTATGAATTTTCTAGTTTTTTGATAACTAGGATATATATACTGTAAATTCAGAAATTATTGCAAATTTTCAAGAATGGACTAAAATGCGAGATTAATTATTGCGATTTCAGGAAAATCTGCATTCAGCCATATGTATCAGATATCAGAATGCAAGTTTTAATTTATACGTTACTCATTCAGTCGCATTATTCGCATTAACAGTCTTGCATCCAAACCCTACAGAGTGTGTAATTTTCATATCTTCTCTCAATTATAAAATTTGTAAGGGTTCCGCGGAACCCAGTGTCTCGCCTACTTTTTCTGTTAATCGCAAAAATGAGGAAGTAAATCAATAAAAATATTCCTCTTGATACTATCTTTTGATTATAAGAAGCTTCTGTCCAAGTTTGGTAAAATTCCAGGATAGTTTATGAATCTAATAAATGTTTAAAAACTTTAACTGCAGACTGAATGTAATGTTAACTGGAAGAAAACAAAATTTCCTTCTACGATACTAGCATTTGATCATAAACAAGCTTCTGTCCAAGTTTGGTACAAATCCAAAATAGTATAAGAAAGTTATTAAAATTTTAAAAACTTTAACCACAGAGTGAATATATTGTTTCCTGGCAGAAAATCTAAGTCCATTTAAAAGTAAAATACGGAAAAAATAGATTATTTTTTTACAAAATTTCCTTCTAGATACTAGCTTTTGATCATAAACAAGCTTCTGTCCAAGTTTGGTACAAATCCAAAATAGTATAAGAAAGTTATCAAAATTTGAAAAACTTTAACCACTGAGTGAATGTGTTGTTTCCTGGCAGAAAATCTAAGTCCATTTAAAAGTAAAATAAGGAAAAAATGGATTTATTTTTTTACAAAATTTACTTCTAGATACTATCTTATGATCATAAACAAGCTTCTGTCCAAGTTTGGTACAAACCCAGGATAGTTTAAGAAAGTTATTAAAATTTTAAAAACTTTAACCACAGAGTGAATGTAATATTTACCGGCAGAAAAACTAAGTCCATTTATAAGTAAAATACGGAAAAAA